CTAGTTGTTGTCCCAGGCGAGCAAATTTTGCTGGTCAAGTTTACGTCGCTTCTATTACAAAGAGAGTCACTTCCTCCCTCACTCTTTCCGTGTGTCCCAGCCAGCATTACAAAACGGCTGAGTTCACGGAGTACACTCGGTTACGGATTCACACAATCCAGTGAATCGTAAAAGGACCAAACGGGACAGGTTAATCTCCAAATTGAAGCAGATGAACAAGGTTTGTTCAACTAGCACTTCGAGCATTGAAGGAGATGGGTCGTTTTTTAACTGACCTGGTCCAGGGTTTGTGTGAATCCAATCAACTGGGTTGGCCTAAAAACAAGGCATGGGTTAGATCAACAATGCACAATTGATGACTGGAAACCTCTTAGGGAGGATTTTGTGGGGGGGGGGGTTGTGTAAAAATGGAAAAAATAAATGAATGTGTGATTTATGGGGTTTGATGATTAGATAGGATAGATTATAGAAAGAAGAAAATCAAGACGTGACTTTAGAGAGGTCCATTTATAACTGTATTTATAACTGCTACGGAGAACATTGGAACTGCTGTGAAGAATATTTATAACTTTTTTAATTTATCTTCTATTTTTCTCTTCCTTTTTTACGATTTCAGTTTCCTCGAGTTCTTTCTTCTCTGTGTAGTTTTTACTGTTTTTCCTTTTTTTGCAGTTTCAGTTTTCTTTTTGATTTTTTTTTCTGTTTTTCTTTCTTGCACTCTCAGGTTTCTCTCTCTCTTTTTTCTTTTCTATTTTTCGTTTCCCTTTTTTCCCCCTTTTCACACTTTTGTCTTTTCCTCTTTCTTTCTTTTCTATTTTTCTTCCTTATTTTATATCCTTTTGTAATCGCTAACCTTCTCTTTAAAAGCATAATAAACATTGTCTATTTAAAAAAAAAGAACAGCAAAAACACAGTTAGGGAACCTGCCAACAATGGGCCCAGCATTTGTGATACCTACTTTTGAACTTTCCATATACAGAACAACCGCAGCCTGTATTTTATTTTATAGTTCGCACTTATATTCTGCTTTTGAATTTTGCATATATAGGAAAGCAATAGTCTGTACTGGGTTTTGGGTTTGTTTTGGCACTTATATTCTGTCAACGGGCACCATGTTTACAATTTTGTGTGTCTGTATTTGTGAACATTGACTGACATTTCAGGCACAGGATGCCTTAATAAATTTACTAATCCTCAACGTGTACAAGACTCCAGATGTTCTCACATTCTTTGCTAAAAACTGAGCCTCTCCTCTTCTGTTTGAAATGGTCCCAGATATTGTTTGTTTGGTTTGTTTTGGATGCCATGGTGTAAAAAATATGTTGAGACTCTAGAAAGAGTGCAGTGAAGGGCAACTGTGATGACCCAAAGGGGTGTGGCACAAAGGCCACAGAGTCAGATAATCAGTAGGAGTCCCTTTATTAGCCCCAACTTTGCCCCCAATGTCCTGGTTACCTTCTGGGCTGGAGAAAAACTCTCCCAGGAACAGCCTTTGGCTGTAGAAAATCAAGTCCAAAACATGGTCAACAAAAACTGGAACTATAAGTCCAATCAAGGCAAATGAGGTAATTGGTCCAGCAAGGCAGGAGAAGGAATTCCAGACATGAACCCGGTTGGGAAGATTCCAGGAACACAGATAACTAAAGTCAACACAAGATAAACTCAGTTTGCTCCCAGCAGCTACCACACTCGGCATGCATCTCTTTTAAGCTCCCTTCCCAGATGTGGCTAATGAAGGGAATCAGGGCCCTTTCTTCCCCTGTAAGCCACGCAACCCACATTGCTCCCTTCTCCGTTCCTCCCTGCGTGCCCTAGGATGAAGAGGAGGGTGGGCCTGGGTCTTCCTCTGAATTCCCTCTCCCTTGTTCTACCTTCTCCCTGCTCTTCCCAGCCAGACTTTGCCCTTCCCCAGTTTCCTCCACAGCCAACGGAACCACACTCCCACTCCCTGTCAGCTGTTCATCTTCCTCCTCCAGTCCAGATTCTGACAGGGGCATGGCAGCAACAAAGATGATTAGGGGACTGGAGGCTAAAACATATGAAGAATAGTTGCAAGAATTGGGTATGTCTAGTTAATGAAAAGAAAAACTAGATATGATAGCAGTCTTCTAATATTTGAGGGGCCGTCTCAGAGAAGAAGGGGTTGACCTGTTTTTCATAGCATGGGACGGCAGGATAAGAAGTAATGGGTGGAAGATCATTAAAGAGAGAACCAACCAATGAGCTTAATAGTTTGTAACTGTGAGGGGGATCTTGATATGAGCCAACAGTATGCAGCCGCAGCCAAAAAAGCCAGTGCAATCCTAGGTTGCTGCATAAACAGAGGGACAGAATCAAGATCACGTGAATGGGATCTTAATATCGCTTTACAAAGCCTTAGTACAGCCACACTTTGAATACTGCATCTAGTTTGGGTCGCCACAATATAAAAAAAGATGTTGAGACACTAGAAAAAATGCAGAGATGAGCAACAAAGAGGATTAGGAGGCTAAAATATATCAGGGATGGTTGCAGGAATTTGATACGTCTAGTCCAGAGAAAAGAAGGACTAGGGATGACATGATAGCAGTCTGCCAATATTTGAGGGGCTGCCACCCCAAAGAAGAGGGGGGGTCAGTCTATTCTCCAAAGCACCTGAAAGGAGAATGGATGGAAACTAATCCAGGGGAGAAGCAAGGGGGGACATGATAGCAGTGTTCCAATATCTAAGGGGCTGTCGAAGTAAGACTTACTCTCTAAAGCCCCTGAGAAATAATGGATGGAAACTTGTCCAAGAGAGAGCCAACCTAGAATTAAGGAGACATTTCCTGACAGAACAATTCATCATTCATGGACATCGTTCACGTTCCAACAATTCTTCATGGGACAGTTTGCCTCCAGGCACTGTGGGTGCTTCAACACTGGAGGTTTTCAGAAGTATACTGGACAACCATTTGACCAGGATGGTATAAAGTCCCTTGCTCGAGTGAGGGGTTGGACTAGAAGACCTCCAAAGGTCTCTCCCAGATCTGCGGTTCTGCCCTTGCCTTTGCTGTTGTGAGTGGCGATTCCAGGAACAGCCGATTTAACAATTCCAAGTTACAAGGGAGATTATTATTATTTTTTTAAAGATTTTTCTTTTTAACTGGGGCGGCCACAGACTGAGTATTGGCTCTCACTGCCCAAACAAGAGAGTTATATAACAGCGAATTATAGTTTGGGAAATGTTGATTCTAATCTCTGTTAAACTAAGCTTGCCAAGACCTTGTTAAGCCATTTTAATGGGGGGAGGGAGAGATCAGCCCCCCTGTGCCACTTCTAATTGTCAGCTCAATTGCAATCGTTGTTTTGATTCAGAAGGTGGCATTTTTGCATGGAACTGAATGGCTGAACTGGCTGTCATTGTCTTAGGTTCAAATTGATCGGGCTTTTAAAACAAAGCCTGCCCCAAAGTGGTTTATATCAAACTTCATTCATTCATTCATTCATTCATTCATTCATTCATTCATTCATTCATATCCTACCTATATCATTTTTGTAAATAACTCAAGGAGATGAACATACATAATATTCCTTCCTCTTCCTATTTTCCCGCAATGTGCATGGACTGGATTGAGTGATTGGCCAAAAGTCATCCAGTTGGCTTTTGTGCCTCAGTCAGGACTAGAACTCACTGTCTCCTGGTGATTTGCCCAGAATCACCCAGCTAGCTTTCATGCCTAAGTTAGGACTAGAACTCACAGTCATCTGGTGATTGGTCTAAAGTCACCCAGCTGGCTTTCATGCCTGAGGTAGGACTAGAACTCACAGTCACCTGGTGATTGGTCTAAAGTCACCCAGCCGGATTTCATACCTAAGGTGAGACTAAAACTCAGAGTCTTCTGATTCCTAGCCAAATCCAATTGTTTTTCCTCAAAGATTCCGTTTGGAGAATCTTTCTGGACCTATTACAGATTAGCAGAGTTGGAAGGGACCTTGTAGGTCATCTAGTCCAATCGCTTTTGAATCCTCAGCCTTTCCAAGACCTCAAACAGAGGATTCCCACAATTCAATAAAGCCAGACTACATCCCTAGCAAACCCATATTGACTGAGTTCTCCTAACACATTCAGCCCAACCCATAAGCCATGTTCTAGCTTAATGGCAGGGCTTGCTTCCCAGAAGAAGTCAAGAGTTAGTTTTTCTACAACACAACCCACAAACTTCTCCACTGCATTTGCTTAATGGCCGCATCGTTCACTTAACAACAGCTGCATTTTGCTTAACAACTTGTGGCCAAAATGGGACAAAACTCATCGAATTTGCTGAACAATGGAAATGTCGGGCCTAAGGAGAGAAATATGTGTATTTGCTTTCTTGGGCAGCTGGCTCTGAGCCCTGAATGCCAACGACTTAGAAGAAGAAGAAGAAAAATTCTTATTTTCTTCGACTTGGCCCGGACTGACCCCGCCGTTGCTATCTTACCTACATTCCCAAGAAATAACTCCTGGTTCTCCTTCTTTTCATCCCTCCCAACCCAAGAAAAGCAGCTAAGCTAGCTTAATTCGGCAGGGAGCTGACCCTGATCAAAAACAATCCTAAAAAACCACCACAAAGTTAACCTCACGACGCAAATGCCTGCACCTCAGCTGCCCCCGTTTCGTTCCTAAAAAGGTGCAGGAAAGAATTGGGAGTGAAATCAAAACACACCCCAGGATGACAAAAGTACAACGCACAGTGGGCAGCTGCTGAATCCTGTTTGCCCATCAGCAGGACCCATGAGGAGTTTTCTCCCGTGACCTGGTTCGCATTTCAATGCTGGAGCACATGGGCATGCCAGGAGTCCAGTTGGCATTGCGTAACCTCCGCCACGTCCTCTCTTCGCTCTGTCTTCGTTCCAGTCCTGCAAAGTAGCTAAGACGGGCATCTCCCCATCGGTAAAGCCAACTTTGGCTTTCAACAGAGTCCCTCCTCCATCATCGGTGCGGCATTTCCCCCGAGCTCGGCACCTCTACGACGTGCCACGCACCACCAAAGCCCGCCATGGCGTTCGCCGAACTCCTGGATCAAGTAGGGGGCATGGGACGCTTTCAAGGGCTCAACGTGGCCCTGTTGTGCTTCCCGATGCTCCTGATGGCAGCTCACAACCTGTTGCAGAATTTTACCGCTGCGGTTCCCGAGCATCACTGCCGAGTCGCCTTGAACAAGGCGTGCGCCAATGGGAACGCCACGGGAAATCGAGATTGTCAGGCGCTCTTGAGGGTGTTCGTACCGCAGGATGGGGCCTGGAGGCCAGAAAAGTGTTGGCGTTTTGTCACCCCCCAATGGCAGCTGTTGGAGTTTAATTCAACGGGACGGGAGCCAACGGAGGCCGAGCAGGAACCGTGTCTGGATGGGTGGACCTATGAAGGGTCGGTCTTCACATCCACCATTGTAACCGAGGTAAGAAGGATGCTCATTTATACCGACCTGGTGGAAGATTTCTAGGTTCCTTCTTGGGGTCCTCCAGCTGGGCTGGAGAGATAGATCTGTATCTAGATAGATAGATAGATAGATAGATAGATAGATAGATAGATAGATAG